TCCGCCCCCAGCCCCCTCGGGCCCCCACCCCCTGGATTTGTGCTTGCCCCGAAACAGAAAGAAGCAAAGCCGCCCCGCTTTCTTCCTCAGTTCCGGCAGCCATTGGCTGTTCCGTCCACCTGGGAGGGGTGAAGGAGGGGGCTGACGGGGGGGAAGCATCTGTCATCAAAATTAGGGGGTACAGTGTCTGTGCTTCAGCATCCAGCAGAAGAAGATCAGGAAAACGCATGCCCCCCACTTGCCACAAACTGTTTGGAATAACCATAGTAGTCATGTGTTTGAGGAGAGAAGAATGAACTACAAGTATTTTCCCCACTTTCCTGCCCCACGTCTGCTGAAAAATAGAAGAGGCTGCAGTTGGCTGTTAAGGGAGAAGGCAGGTGGAGGTGAGACTTTGGATGCCCTCCCTCCCTCCCTCCCTGGCAGCCTCCAGGAACACTGGACCCCGGGACACTGCAACTGTTGTAAATACATGCCCGTTGCCAAGTGCCCAAATTTTGATCAAGTGACCATGGGGGCGCTGCGATGGTCATAAGTGTGAGGACTGGTCGCAAGTCACTTGTTCAGCACCGTCATAACTTTGAATGGTCACTAAATGAATGGTGGTAAGTCGAGGACTACCTGTATTCCTTTTCTTAACTATAAAAGTAGGCAGATTCTGAATAAACTCTTGCTCAGGATTAAATAAATTTATTTAAACATTAATAAGTAAAACATTTCTGCAGGAAGAAGGCCAAGAAGTGCAAATTTAGCTAGAAGAGAAAGGGGTTTGGAGGCAGTTGTCTCCTTTTTTCATTTGGTATCATTTAAAGCTGGAGCAAAGGTTTGTTCATTAGCCACCCAGGAGCTTCCGTGCCTGGGGGTAGACTTGGATCTGTGCCACTTGGGTCTGGGGCCGTACTTTCATCACAACACCGCTGGCTCTCCCAAATGCTGACCGCTGTCTTTAGGATTCAGCTTTATTGGATCTCGGTATGTAAAAGCGAATGTGCAGCGACCACCAAGATCTGGATATCACCTTGAAGCTTTCACGCTTCTGCCCGTTCACACGCAGCACCACGGCCTCCAGTCGAGGCCAACAAGCAACTGAAATGCTGGGAAACCAGCATCCATCTCGCGTCCATGCCAAACCTTATCTATGGTGTCACGTCCTGGGTTATTGCTATCACTGATTGATGAAGCCTGCTTGTAATCTAGTATTGCTGTTCAATTACTGGGGCTGCCTGTATATGTTGTAATTCTTACAAACTCGCTGGAGTTGCTTCCTCAAGAAGAAAACCCGACTCCGGTGTGTTTAGTTTGATCGACCGGGAAGACCGAACAAGGCAACGAGTGGGATCCTAAACAAGAGGCTCCGGGCTCATCTCATCTCTGGGGGGCAGAAAAGGCAGTGAGAAGGATAGGGAGGAGAACGCCTGGTCAGCTGCAGTGAGCAAAGCCAAAGCACAGAAGGGCGGCCAGCTTTACTGGGAAGATCAGTGCGCTGGGTGGTGCCTCCGATCACTGGGCGTGATATACAGACAACCTTAAACAATGGCTGGGGAGGGGGGTGAGATAGCTGCTGAAAAAACGGTGCCTGTTTTACTGAGTGTTACGGGAGATAAAGCAGACAGCTTATTAAGCACCTTATCCCAAAAAAGCCCACCCCCCATTCACCTTTGCCAGAACATTTGGCACCCAAAACATTGACAGCAGTAAGAGATCAGCTAGTTTATGGAAGAAAGAAAATTATGGATGAATATTTGTAACAGAGGGAGATTTAACATTTACGAGAGCATTGGAAATTGCTTTCTCCGTGGAATCTGCTGCTCGAAATAATTCAGAGCTGCAATCAGCCGTCAAAGCAAATCTGAATTAAGCGTGCAGCAGCATGCAGAGGGTAACGCTTCAAAATGAACTATGCTCTCCTTGTGGCAGAGGTTCACACGCATCAGCTCAATGCAGATTTAAAAGAGGGACCTGCAGAAAATAAGGGGAGATGTATTGAAAGAGCCCATAGCAAACCGTTCATGCAACCTAACCATTACTTTAAAAGCAGTGCAGTGGTGCATGCTATACATGAAGAATTGGATAATGAAAATGAAGCAGGCTCCCACCTGATGGGCATGGTAAAAGCACATCAATACACATTGGCTCTGCTGTGTGTATTATATCATAGTGGGAATCTGAGCGGACTTTCAGAGATAACCTAAACCGGCGTTTCTCAACCTTGGCAACTTTAAAATGTCCGCACGCTGGCTGGGGAATTCTGAGAGTAGAAGTCCACATGTCTCCCAGCTTGCCGTGGTTGAGAACATTGACCTAAACGATCAGAAATACAGTTAAAAACGTACGAAGGAGAACAGATCTTTCCCACTAGGGTGACACCTGTAACTAAGATGCAGCACCAGCAAGGTACATTGGGCTCAGGAGTCACGACGTGCTGAGAAAGCTGCCGCCGCCGCATTGCAAGTTCCCTCGACAACCCGCATGCTGCGCTTCCGGTCCGAGAGGCCTGGGAGCACTTGTGTTCGAAGGTGGCACAAGGACACTCAAGCACCTCGAAGGAGAAACGGGTACAAGGAAATGACAGAGCCCCTTTGAACACTGATCGAATCACTCTTGGGATTCCGGGAGCCGAAAAACGGAGCGGGCGGCCTCTGTGACAATTGTAAAATGGCCGCCAATCTGCTTTCGCAGACTGAGCAATTCCCCTTGTTCAGGGGGCATTTTTGCTAAGCTTGCTGGGGAACAACTTTCCAGCAAAACAGACCCAGGAGTGGCAGATTTACAGATGGAAATAGAAGATTCCGAGATCAGTGTGGCATGTGGTTACTGGTTTTGGAGTAGCGCCAGCACTGCTGCCTTGGCAAAGAACCACAGACAGGAAGGAGCTTAAGGCTGCTGAGACACTTACTGCTATGTAGATATCATTGTGACCGCAAAAACAGGGAGGTGCATCTGCAAATCCGCATGACAGTGTGGCAGAGATGAATAGACTACAGGTAGTCCTCGCTTAGCAACCATTTGTTTAGCAAGCATTCAAAGTTATGACGGCGCTGAAAAAAGCAACTTACGGCCAGTCCTTGCACTTACGACCGTCGCAGTGCCCCTGGGGTCACACGATCACAATCCAGGTGCTTGGCAACCAGCTTGCACTCATGATGGTTGCAATGTCCCAGGGTCACATGACCGCCATTTGCAACCTGCCCGGCCAGCTTCCAGCAAGCAAAGTCAGTGGGGAACTGTGTGATTCACTTAATGACTGCTGCAAAAAATGTCATAAAATCAGGTGCAATCACATGATGCCTTGCTTAACAACTGCCCTGATTAATGACAAATTTTCTGTGTGGTCGTTAAGCAAGGACTACCTGTATGTCCTTCAGGCACAATGCAACAAATGTGAGTTCCTGAAATCTAGTATTGCATACCAGGGTCGCCACTGATATCCAAGGCCTACAGAAGCCTATAGAGAAAGTTCAAGCCACCAAGCACGAGCCCACTGCCTTCTTCATGGCTCTCTACACAGGCCCCTCGCTCTCTTGGGCCTACACAGCAATCCAGACATACGCACCAAAAATCTCGGTTCAGGGAGTTATAGCAACTTATATTTGACAGTGGGTTGTACTGCGGGGGGGCTGAGAGTCATCACGCTTACAAACTGAGACCTCAAGGGCTGAAAGAGTTACGGGCGGCTCATCCTGGAGCAATGAAGGTGATGGCATTAGCTTGGTTTTGTTTAGCGGCTGGGAACGGCTTGCAGAGAGCTACTTGGATTCCCAACCTTTCCAAAACATGCCCAAAATAGCACCAGTTGGGAAGGGCTGGCCCAAGACTTCCGCTAAACTTCGCAAGATCATTTACAGGCAGAACTGCTAAGCTGTGGGGGATGCACGCGCAACGCGGCCAGCGGAGCAACCGTCCGTGTGTCCCAAAGATGTCTTAAGAAACCCTTTCGGGTTCTCCAGAACATCAGTGAGTGACACCGGACCACAAGTCTGTAGTTCGACTATTTCATACATTTCTGAAAAAGAATGGAATCAAATGTGTCAGATTAGCCCGTATCGCCCGACCACCGATAGATTGGCTGAAAGACTTGTTCAAGGCTTCAAGGATGCGCCGCAAATAACGTTTGGAGAAAACATCACGCTGAATCAAAAACTTGCAAACTTTCTGTCTGCACATTGCTGTGCAGTGCGCAGAACAAAACCACTGAAGTGTTTATTTTATTTATTTATTTATTTATATCTCAAATTCGTCACCACCCATCTCGCTACAGAGTGACTCTGGGCAGTTTACAGTAAAAACAGAGCAAACACTAATTAAAACAGATAAATATTAATTAATTACAATACGTTAGAAAACAAGCTTCCTCTATGATACTTCCAAGAGGCTGATGTTAATTAGGTGTTAATGTTAATGTTGCTCTTCAGTTACAGCTTACTTCCCAGGCTTGACCTTCTCAAACTCAACCTGAGAAGCCCATGCGGGACAAGCAGCTGAGAGAAGCTGTGCAATTTCATTACGTGACGGGGCCCGTGGCCGAAGAGAACGGAAGTACAGAAGGCAGCTGAGCCTGACATCACTGGACATGCAGCTGTAATTCCTGAGTCATGACCAGAACATCTGCCCCTGAAACAGATGCCCAACCGGCAGCTGCTCCTTGGCTTACGGTGCCATCAGAGGCACTGAGTGGTGGGTTGTGGTTGTGGCTCTTATTATCGTTATGTAGATCCAGAGGCTGCCTTACTCCAGAATGATTCTGGGCGGCTTACAGCGAAAAACCAGAAAGCCACAAAGCAAACCCTGCACATCCAGGCGATCACACCCCATCTATCCCGTCCAAACCCCTACCCAACAGGCGCTCCAGGCGTCCTCCCCTCGCTCACGGAAGCCACCA